TTGTCCCAGGTGTTTCCCTTGATGTTTCATTGCTCCCAGGTGTGTCTCGTCATCCCCTCCTCCTGTGTGTATAAAAAGTGTTCCCAGTCCCAAGTTCTCTGTCCGATGTTAAACGTCTTCCTGGGTTCGTCTCCCTTGGTTCCTGTAAATAAAGTCTTGGTAAAGTATTCTCCAGCGTCTCCTCGTTCCTCGTGTGTGTGTGCATCGTGACAGTGTGGTTTTTGTTTTTTGTTTTTTATACAGTATAACAGTAAATACACTACACTCCACTACACCAAAACAGGCTGCCTCCTGTTCTCCAGCGTCTCCTCGTTCCTCGTGTGTGTGTGCATCGTGACAGTGTGTGTGTTTGTTTTTGTTTTTTATACAGTATAACAGTAAATACACTACACTCCACTACACCAAAACAGGCACCAAAATGCCTCCTGTAACGCCTGAAATGTTGTCACTGTATTTTCACAGTGAAATTGTGCCAACAAAAGCTGCCAGCTTTTACTGTAAATTTAACAGGCTTTTTATATAGTGTGTAAGAGAATCCACATCTCATCCTTTTGTCTGTCTCTCTCTCGCTCTCGCTCTCGCTCTCCTCTCTCTCCAGCTTTCTCTTTCAGAGCTAAACTGAACTGAAGCTAGTGGGATTAGTTCTGGACTGGCTACTGTCGACTATTGGAACACCCTCTAGAGGCTGCAGGAGGAGAGCGCCAGCACTGGCCGATCAATACAATGGAAGAGAGAGAGAGAGAACCAGACAGGGGGTAGAGAGGCATAGGGAGGGTAGAAGAAGGAAAGAGAACGAGAAGGGGGGTGTCGCTGGGCGAGGGAGGGAGACACAGTGATAGTGTGCATGTGCGTGAGAGAGGAGGGTGCGAAAGACGGATACAGAGAGAGACCGAGTTAGAGCGAGAGCAAGGTGCACACGTTGCTCAGCCTTCTCATTGCAGCCGCGACAGGCAGCCAGAAAAGAGCTCCAATCTAACCGGTGGCAGCAATAGACTACTGAAAACACAGCTTGACCGATCAATAGACCTTTGCCAGAAACATTGTGAGAGGGAGAAAGCTGCTCAAGGACCAGGGAGAAGCAGATAAGGTGAAGATCTAAAGGCAATTACAACACCGGCTTCCAAAACTAGGTAAGTTGAGTGTCTTGTGTTTATTAAGTGTTCTCTTCTCATAGCAGCTGTGCTGTACTGGAGGGGTCTGACTGGGGAATGGGAGTGGACTCAGGTAATGAATTGGTTTGTGTGTTGTGCATCAATCAAAACATTATCATTCTGAGCTTCAGACCGAATGTCACGTTACTAAAGTCACATCAGGGAGCAGACCTGGTCTGGTGTAACCAAAGCTGTATTCTTCTTCGATTACATTATTTGCATGCATTTGAATATGCATTTAGTAGATTTCGTTAAAACAGTACTCCAGAAGTAGGATCAGTTTTATGCATTCATGTTGTTTTGAATGATTCACAAGTGCAAGTACAGTGAGTAAAAACATTGCATGGATGGTTTTAAAGAAGTTGGTTTCATATGCTCTTTTGACGCAAATTATGATTGCAGAATTTTACTTTCAGTATTTGTCATTTAGATAATGATATAGAATATAGTTAAAGAGTATAATAAATCTTCTATTTGATGCATTCAAAAATATGTGGAACTATATACTGTATAAGTAACCGCATGTACAGTAATATAGATCATAATATATAAAGTATAAGAATATGTAAAAATATGAATTATTTTTTTTAATGTATTAATTTTATGTATTATATATTGTGGTCTATATTACTGTACATAGAGGATGTACAATATGTATTAATATTAGGGATGCACGATATATCGGCCACCATATCGGTATCGGCCGATAAATGCTAATTTTTTCTGTTATCGGTATCGGCCCGATAAGAAAATTTGGCCGATATCTTAAAGCCGATAAATAATGCATTATTTCCTTCAGAGACACTTCAGATGCGCGCTGTTCGTTTGCAGCCTTTTGTGCAATTGTACGTTGTAATATTGTGTTTATTTGATGTATATCTGATTTATCTCATATAGAATGCGTTTGGTTAAGTTAAAAGAGCGCTTCAGTTTACCGGTGATCATCTTTAGCTCAGCGCACGCAGCTCAAACAGCAGTGCACAACATTAATAACTATGATTGGGAATGTCGTGTATATAACATTCTAATGAGAACATTATTATAATAAAACGTTGTGAATTCTTTGGGTTTAGTTGCTGTGTTTCAGCGCGTTGTTATGGGAAGAGCGCATCCACAACAGGATCACACATTCTGACTATAGCACGCAATAACTGCGTCATTTTGTACATATATAAGTTGTAATATTATGTTTATGTTGTATTAATATTAATCTCAGGATGCATTTCCTTGAGTTAAATAAGCTGCCAGCAAAACGCTTCAGTTTACCGTCTTCATTCAGCTCTTCAGCTTCAGCACGCGCTGCTCAAACGGGTGCTATTTAAAACAGTGGTATTAATTTGTTACTTTTTCAAAATCATTGATACATTATTAATGATAACAACCACTTGTATTTTTCTCTTATTATTTTCATCAACAATATGGTTTAGTAATTAAAATCATTTAATTATTGTCCGTGCAGAGGCTATTCCGTTTTATTGATCTATGGCGCATTCATTTTGATTCTTTACACATGTAATGATGTCCAGTGACTTGTTTGCATTATTTATGCATTATTTTATTTATTTGTAAGACTTTTTTATGACTAAATTTGGTAATGGGAGAGTAAAATTATTTTTAAAACGTACACCGTTCAAACTAGGCTGCTTATGTTGAAGTGTTTGAGATGTGGCTTTTAATGATGAGACCTTTTTTGTAATCAGGCTCTCAAAAAGTATATAAAAATTTGGATATAGATTTATCGGCCAACATATCGGTTATCGGCTTTCAAAAATAAAGAATTATCGGTATCGGCCAAAATGTTCATATCGGTGCATCCCTAATTAATATGTATTTAATATACAAATTAGAAAACAGTTTGTATATATAGATAGATAGATAGATAGATAGATAGATAGATTTAAAATATTAATAAAATATAAAAAAAAATGGAAATATTTTTAAGAGTGTACTGTACATACTGTTATTTTGTGCTGTTTAACAATATAAATGCAAAACTGTATATGTAGATTTTGGTTCAGCTCAATTACTTTGAAGTATGACTTATAGCATCAATTTCCTTCAAATCTAGATGCAGTTTGTTTTAAGAATTTACATAGATTACTTTTTTTAAAGCCAGCCTCACTGTACCCCAGAGTGAGCAATTATTCTGTGCAGTGGGCAAACTTTCCATCCAAAAAGTAGGGGATGCTGTTATGGGCAGATCATGATGTCACCATCCATCCGGTGGATAAACTGGCTGTTTATTTCTTCCACTACATCCTGTGGCACCTTTTTCAGAGAAATATTCTCACACTTGCTGTTGTGCATCCATTCCTCCTCCCTGCAGAGCTGCACTGTGAGGGATATTGTCGTATTTCTTAAGTGTTGGATTTGTCAAAGTCAGTTGAACATATTGTCCATGGGCAGAGAGTGTGGTATCAGCATGATATTAAAAATCTGGTGTGGGGGATCCTTTCTGCAGATTTATAGCTGGAGTATAAATCTTAACACCTCAGCTACGAGACCTTTTCTTCACCGCGCTGCCATGTGAACGAATGATACCGCATGCCTCCCCACACAGTGTAAGATGAGAGCCCAGGGGTACATGTTAATTTCTCCGTAGGTAGATCACACCTCTCTGTGGCTCATTCCTTCCTTCCTCCTGCTCCTCTTTCATTAGTCTTAGGCATGATTTCAAAGCTTTCCCTGAGTCTGAGAATACTCTGCTCCCACTAGCATGCAGGGCTATATATTAAACATGCAGCCATCAGAAGGCTCTCTCTCAATCAACAGTCAAATTTATGGAAATGTGAATCAATAATGTGGATAAACATTCAACTTTAAAATGTTTGCTTTGGCTAAAATGGCAAACGGCACACTCACTGCAAGAACAAAGGTACTGAGAATGAAATGCAAATTCAAATGATGCTTCCACACAAGATTTTTTTTTTTAAATGTCTTAATGTTTTGTTTTTTTCTCCATACAATGGAAGTCAGTGAGATCCGATGTCATTTTGAACCCCAATGACTTTCATTATATGGGCAAAAGCAGTTAAAACATTTCTCAAAATATTTTCTTTTGTGTTCCACAGAAGAAAGTAAGTCATACAGGGTTGGAACGCCATGAGTAAATATTCACCAAATTAATTTTTGAGTGAACCATCCTTTTAAGATTATGTAACGCAACAATGTAATGACAAATCATGGCTTTCTTTCTGTGACTATTATTGGTCTGCAGAGCTGTTGTCTATCCACCTTAAAATTCAGAAATGTTGCCATGTGTCGAATATTCTGACCAATGAGGGGAAAATTTGCTTGATGTGACGTTTATTAACACATTTTGTTTTGTTTTGAAATGTTGCCATGTGAAAGTGAAATTAACCAAGCAGACCAACCATTGGTCTACATTGCAGAACAAAGCAAAAAGATTACAAATCTGAAGTAACATGCATGTAATTGTATTGTAAAGTAATATTTCAAGAAAAATGGGAAAAAGATTTTATGATGAAAATCTATATTTTATTCAACTACACCAAGAAAAAAAAGGTGTAGAAACAATTTTCACTTAAAAACTTAACTTAAAAAGTAAATGTAACAATTACAAAGAAATGACAAGTAACACACTGAATTAAATTGTAAATTTTGTAGAAAAGCTCATAGTATTTTCTTGTATAATATACTCAAATAATTTTATTTACAACTTAAAAAAATCTTTTTTACAGTGTACTTTTGCAGTAAAATTGTGTTTTTTGTAAGTAAAAAAACATGAGTCACCTAAAAATTTTATATAAACGCACATGAGCAGCAATATCTTGTGTTAATCATGATTGCATAATAAAATTAGATTTTTCTGATACTTTCCCCTCTCAGTGAGATTAATTAACATGTAGCGGCACACCTGTGGGTAACCAAACAGCACAACTGTGTTAGTCTATGAGGAAATTAATAATTTACATAATATTTCAGTCCAGGGGCTTTGCCTTTGCACAATGCCCAGCAGTGACTGTGCTGCAGAAGTTTCCTCTACTCTTGCTATTAGACTGCTAAATGGTAATTAAGCCAGGGCTCCATTTGCATGCACTCTGCGGAAGAACACGAGTGTTTAAAAAGAAATCAGGCTGCATATATTGGACCACCCGAGGATCACTGTCCAAAATTAAAGCAGGTTGAGGCGGCTGCTCTCTTTGCGCTCGCTCGCTGTTCAACTGCCATTAAATGGCTTTCAAGTGACTATTCTTTTTTGTCATTGACTTAAATACAGCTTAGCTGATGGATCCGCTTACCATAACGCTATGTTATTGCAGTTTGTGTGCGTTTTTAATGCGCTCCTGCTTTTGAAATTACCCTTTTGAGCACTATTGTTCTCAATTTAATTACCAACCCTCCATGTTCAGCATAAGCCAAGGACACGTTAGTCGACAAAAACTGCTGTGCTAAAGAAAATTCTACCATACAAAAGAGGCACTTCTTGTTCACCCCCTCAAACATGAAGCCGTGGTCTGTTCTGTCAAGGGTTCAATCTGTTTGATAAATGCTTCGCCGCCTCTGAGCTGTTTTGGTGTTCACCTTCTGAAAGCCACTAGCTTTAAATAATACAAGGTACATTGAGATCAAGTAATAGAGAAAGAAAATTACTTGAACCCTTGCCCACTGCTCATGCACCTATGTTATTGCCTCTCCTGCCACCTTTTTCTGCCTACATATACAGTGGGTACGGAAAGTATTCAGACTGCAAAAATGTCAACGATTCTGTGTTTTTCTGTCAATATGGGGTGCTGTGTGTACATTAATGAGGAAAAAAAATTAACTTAAATGATTTTAGCAAATGGCTGCAATATAACAAAGAGTGAAAAATTTAAGGGGGTCTGAATACTTTCCGTACCCACTGTATGTCCTAATCCTCCTGCAGATGATTCCCAGACTGCAATGCAGTCAGAAGGGGGAGACGGTGAGCTCTTGCTTTGATTTGAAAATGTGCTCATGACTTGATGATAGTTTCA